AGTCTAGTGATAAGGACAAACAGTAAATACATGAACACATAATTAAGAGGTTAACTAACTGACTAAATCTAACCTTCTCCCCTGTGGTAAAGTTGGAAATAGCACGAGATTGATGGTCGTTGGGGCTGTGCTTAGTTAGGCTGGTCAGGGAAGGGGTGGCATCTAAGCGAGAAGTGCTTTGCATCCTCAGTTCTCAGCACTTGGTTCCTGGTACTCAGTTACTTTTGGTTAAATTTCATTTGCATACAACAGTTTGGCAGTGTTATTTACCATGAATGTGGTTGAGAGCTAAGAGATAAACAAAAAGACTGTCAGTAGCCAAAATTAATTTTATAAAACTTGAGGCAATAAAAACTCTCATATGCTTGTCATGGACTCATCCCTTGGGCTGTCATAATTTTAACAATGTAATGGGTTTCTCAGTCCTCAACAGATTGTCTTGAAGGTGGAGGTCAGTGACGAGCAGTGGCTGAGTGCTGATGGCATGTGAGGAGATGGCAGGGAGAGTTACTCTGGGGTTTAGGGGGTGGGCTCTGGGGCATTGCGTGTGTGGTGGCTCCACCCTTCAATTTCTGTTTCTTACTAATGATCATTTGGTTTAAGATGTCAGAAAAGCATATAATAGATCTTTGAAAGCCCTGCATCTAAATTGATTAAAGCAAAAACATTATCGATCATTAAAGAATTTAGGCTTGAGTTCCTGACAGCTGAGATCCCTATTTAGAAATTGGAAGCAGCCCATTTTGTGGATGGAGATGTAAGATAATTATCGTTATGTGATTGGTTGTATTTACACAGCTGAGGTACAAGAGGACTTGCATTTAGATTTCACACATTTCTAATGCAGAGACTCTTAAGCTAGACCAGAATTTAGTAATCTCTGTCCAGTGTGGCTCCCATATATGGGCAGTAGATCGAATGCAGCTGATTGGCCCCAGGTCTGACAGCCCAACTGTACTGTGTTACAAGTTATCACAGGCTCTCTGAGGGTTAGGTGCAGTTAGTATCAAATAATGAGACCATGTATCTAAAAGAATAGCAAGTAGGTTTTTAATTGTGGAAGACAGTAATAAAATCTCCCAAGCAGGTGCTTTTGATGGTTTTCCCTCTGAAGTTCGCTGTGTTCTGCACATTGTTACTACGGATCCATTGATGACTTGCTTACACTACGACCCGTCCTGTCTTCCCTGCACCTGACTTGCTTCCAAACTTTTCAGAACTGGAACAGATAGTAACAGATTCTTACAAGTTCATGACTGCTGTAGCATTAGGAGGCTCCTGCAGTATGTCCTGTTGTTGTCTTACTCAGAAAATAGAGCCCCCCCTCCCATCCCAAACAACACTTCCATATTGTGTGTAAGGGTTTCTATAAACCAGAAAGTCAACATATTAAAGTGCAATTCATAGGGGAGTTGCTGGCTGTGTTGACTGAGCTTTACAGTCATTTTAACACTGGCAAAGTGTTATCCTAACTGCTTCAAATCAAACTGCAAAGATGCTTGTGTGAAATATAGTATTAGATATCAAATCAAACATATGGGTGTTGAACGGAAGGATATGTGTTGTGGTGGTATATGGTATTCTAGCATGTGGAGTTGTATTTTATGGAAATTCTTTGGCTTGGTTTATGGCAGGGACATACATTCATTATGAGATATCAAGCTGTAAAATAAATACAAGCAAAGAATTCAACTGTGCTGTTGAATGGTTTTCAATACAAACTTGTCTGTTCTACTAACTTAGGGTCTGTGTGATGAGAGGCGTTTGTAAGGCATTGTGGCCAAATGTTTTGTCACCATTGCTGACAGCTTGAAAATAATTCAGATCAGGTCAAAAGGAATATGAACTTTAGCTTTTTGCATTTTTTTCCTTTTACTTCATTTTATGTGTTATGAATTACTGTGCTAATTGGTCTTAGAGGCAAAATGTTGAATATTTCCCTTCTTATTCCTCTTTTTCCTCATTAAGTATTCTGTAGTGAATTTGAGTTTTAAGTGTGTATCTGGAACTGATGTCTGAATTCTGAAGTGTGTGGGCTTATGGGGCTCAAGTTCTCGGAGTGCTCAAATGGACCATATTGTGGCATTAACATTGACTTCATCACTCCCGTCCCAGGAGTGCTTTTTGCCATCCTGATATCTTGTTTTTCTTTTACTCCCGTTTTCTCTCCCAATTAGGAAAAAAAAAGTCAATAAATTTCTCATTTGAAAGAAAATCAAAATATATCAATGATGTATTTATTGCATGAGGAAGGAAAGATTTTTCTTTGAACAATGATTTCAAGAATTTTTACGCTTATGTAAATTAGAGCTAGAGAAGGCACATCTTAGGCCATTTTGTCTGTATCTCAGGTATTTGTGGTGTAGTACACTTTGCTTTACATCATTACCTGTTTTATCAACTAGGAAAATACTATCCTTATATTATATCTGAATATCTTTCCTTCAAGAACTCGTATTGGTGGTTATATTGTTTGATAAACATAGTATTGTTTTCTGAAAGGGTTTCATTTGATTGTAAAGCAATGTTGTTTCTTTCTAGCAAAAATAAAAAGTGGAATTGCTAATGTAACTGATATCTGTTACAAATGTAATTGAAGTATTCTGACCTTAGTTGAAACAAACATGCCCCCAAACCACAAGCGTCCTACAAAGTATTAAGTATTCGTAAGTGAACTTGGACTGGAGTTCATTTTCATTTGAGTGTTGCATGAGAGTGGGTTAGCATAATGCTTCTTTGACTTTCTTAGCAGAGTCTATTTTTAATGTCAGTATTAGGAGCTCTACCTCGCTCCCTAGATTTGTATGAAATGATCAATGTTTGATATATGATAAAATTTTATTTTTTTAAATTTAAATAAAGGTCATTATCTTTTGTTTTCATTGATAATATGTGAGTAGAAGGTAATATGCCAGTTTATCTAATGGAGAGAATATTAAAAATACTGAATTCAGTTGCTCAGTAAAGAACCCACTCTATGTCGCTGAATTGAAACTGTATTTGATTTCATTGAATTGCACATTTTGACTTTCTCATTTGCCTTGCTTGACTTCTTGACAGATGCCGCCTCAGTATGGACAGCAAGGCGTGAGTGGTTACTGCCAGCAGGGCCAGCAGCCTTACTACAACCAGCAGCCACAGCCTCCGCACCTCCCCCAGCAGGCGCAGTACCTGCCATCCCAGTCCCAGCAGAGGTACCAGCCGCAGCAGGTGAGCGCAGCTCCTGGTCCCCAGGCCTCTGTTCTGTGCTCGCAGGCTGGATCAGGTTCTGAGACATCTTCCTGTCCCATTTAAACAATTTCTGTTCTCAGTGGAAAAAGTGTAGTTTTGAGAAAATGTAAATCAATAACCTAATCTAAACTGTTTATGAATGGATGTTTGAGATGGAAAGGTGGGAGGAATGACTGGTTTAATAGCTTCTTACATTATTGGTTAGTGACAGCAGAAAATGTCAGTCATTTCATGTTCTTGTTATTTGTGTTCTGAATCTTTCAAGAAAGTGCTTTGTCACTTTGAGGCTTATTCAGGAAAATGGTTTTATCATTTAATCTTGCTAATTGGCACATACGTGGTATTTTTATCTTGAGCTTTTTTTTAAATTTGTTTTTGTTATAATGGTAAGTGCTACTATATCAAAACATTGTTGCCTTTGGCAGTGTTACTCTTCCTAAACTAGCTTATAAACAGATAATCACTTCAATTACAATATATTAAAATACTAAAGGGAATCATGTACTTTAAGTATGTTAAGCAGTTTCTAGTTTAAATTAACCTCATTAAATACTCTTTGGTTATTGGGCTGTGCATTTCAGTTGCACAGTTTGTAGAAAGATAGTACGTGTGCATTTGGTACAGAGATTCGGTTTCATCCTATTTTAGTGAGTGTCAATGAGTGATGTTAAAAGACATCATGAGTTAGGGACCCGTACTCTGAAGTCAAGTAAAACTTTCATAGCATTTCCAGTCGTAAGCATCAAAATGTAAGTTTGCATTTTATATTTTCCTCACCTTTCTTTTTTGTGGGGTGGGGGTGGTGAAGAGAGGGGAAGACAGTGACATTGACTATTCAGTTTTAAAGTGCTTCTTACACAGCTTGGAGAGAATGTTGATGCTAAGCAAAAATATATAAATATATGAAGCTTAATTGTAATCATTCAGCTGATTTCTTAGATTTCTTAAGAATTTTCTTGGCTTCTTTGGAGTCTTTTCCCATGTGACTTTTATTTAAGAGTTTCAGAGAGAGTTTATAACTAAAAAAAACACATTAAAGCAACAGCTGAGATTGAAGATTCTACAGAATCTTGTTTTTTACGTATATGTTTTCAAAATTTTGCTGTTATATGAAGCAATTTATAGAGGTAGGAATGTACATTATTTAGTCTGGTCTTTTATTAAAATGTGGGAAAATAAAATAACCTTTCAATATCATTTCTTTTTAAGTAAGAAAGACTGGTATCTGGGTTTATGATATATAAACTTATAGGCTTTTTCATGGGCTTTTAGAGCCTTATTAAATTTCTCTATAGACAGAATGTTTTGTAATGTCATCAAAGTTTAAGGAGGACTCAACAGAGAGATTACATTACTCATTTTACTTTGGTGTGCTGAAATGAATCTCGGATTATAAAATCAATTTGATTAAGGATTCTGAGTGCCTGTCATTTCCTTCAAGACGAAGTTCAAAATTTACTTCCTTTATGAGGCATTCACTGATGACTTCTTCCACATGGCAATTAGTTATTTAATATCCTTAATATTTAAATATTTAAAACATACTGCAGCTAAAATCTTTAATGAATACTATTTTAATGTGCTTAGTTTAGGTCTGTTTTATGCTTTGATCAGTTCTGCCATTGTTGTATTGACTTGAATACGATAAATTATATGTCAGGAAATACTATATAAAAATGACTCTTTAATGTAAATATTGTCATTTTGGGTATATTCTGAGGAAAACCAGTATATCTCAAAGCATGTTGGAAATTTTTTCTTCTTTTCATACTCTCTAACTATACAATGTCTAAATATTTTTTTAAGGTTCAATAAACTCATTGTGGGACAGAGAAGTAGAAATTGGAGTTATTTAGGTAGCTTAATCGGAAGGTCTGGTTTGACAGGAATAGTTTTGGTTTTTAAGGGAGTTAAATGTTTGAATAGATTGGGTAAGTGCCTCTAGGAAATGAGATCTAGTATTTCAGACATAGTTAACACCTCTAAAACCAGAATAATCCCCCCAAGTCTATCCCAAAACAAAGTAAATACAACCACTAGAGTATTTTCAAAATCAAGCCCAATTTAATAAGAATATATAATACTGAATTCACGTACATTTAAAATTAACCAAAGTAGCTCAGTTGTATTTAATATAAGAAGCCAGACCAGTGTTTCAAAACAGGCAGAACATTCCTTCCTGCAGACATTCCTTTTGTTCCCAGATACAGAGTACACAGTCTGTTGACTTTCGTATTAGGGCATCATCAGCAAATACGACTTTGTGTCTTTAGTTAATGTGATTGATACAAAAGGTACATTCAGGGTTCCATTAAGATACCTCACTTTGTGTCTTTAACATTTTTTAAATGTGTAATGTTTTGAATAAATACATTCATGTGTTTCAAAAATGTACAAGTTCAAGGAGATGATTCAGATCCAAGGCTTCCACCACAGCTCCTCTCACCTAGCTCACCGCCCACCTCACCTTTGCCACATGACCGCTTCATTAGTTTATTGTATGTCTTTTGTTAGTTTCAGAGTAGAAAAATACCATATTTTAATTTTTAACTCTAACTTTACACAAATGTTGGCACACTGTATGTAACATGCTATAAATGTCTTCTGTTCTTTGTCATCCCCCTTCCCCGCCCACTTAAATATATTTCTGTAGATCTTTCCAAAGGAGTACATCAGGCAATCTTCCATTCTTTTTTATAGTTTCTTTCCATTTTATGGACATATTATAATATATTTAACCAGCTCTCGTTTGATGAGCATTTAGATTATTTTTAGTTATCTGCAATTCAAACAATACTGTCATGATGCTTTGTGTATATGTCATTTCATAAATGTCCAAGTGTGTCTGTAGGATAAATTCTTGGCTGTGTCAGCGGGTATATGCAGTTGTAATTTGGGTAAATATTGCCAGATTGTTTCTCTTAGAGGTTATACCAATTTATACTACCACCATCAATGTGTGAGAGTCCCTGCTTCCTTACACATGTGCCAATAGCATGGTTTTGGGAAACTTCTGGGTTTTTGCCAATCTGATAATGTAGCTTTGATTTGCATTTATCTTGTTAATGAGTGATGTTGAACATTTCATGTTTAGAAGTGCTTTTGTTTCCCTTTTTCTGGACTGTTAATTCATGTCCTTTTATCTTGAATTTTTCTGTTCAGTTGTTGGTCTCTTATTGATTTATAAAAAACTATATGTACTAGGGAGACTGGACCTCTATCTAAAATGGATTACTGAGAACCCTTCCTCATTGTGTCATTTGTCTTTTGATATTAATTTTTCTTTTTTTTGTCATGCAGAAAGGCTTTTTGAATTTTTTTAGTCTTTTCTTTTATGATACCTAGATTTTATTTTAGTGGAGTACGAGCCTTCCATACTCTGAAGTTACAAAGGAGCTCTCCCATGTTATTTTGTAGTATTTTTATGGACTCATTTTTGTATTTCACTTATCCTAATCTATGGAGAGAGGTATGATCCAACTTAATTTTTTTTTTCTAGATGGCCAATTGGTTAAGTAACTTTTCTTGTGTTGACTGTTGTATTAGGTCTTGCCAGAGAAACAGAATGTGTGTATGTGTACATATACATAGCCTATTGGTGGAATTGACTCTCACACTTATGGAAGCCTGGCAAGTCCAGAATCCAGTAGTGGGCCAGGAGGCTGAGACCAGTAGAGGAGACGGTGAGCATGAAGCCTGAAGGCAGTCTGCTGGAGAATTCCCTTTTGCTTTGGGGAGTGGGAGGTGTCTTTTTGTTCTGTCCAGGCCCTCAACTGATTGGATGAAGCTCACCCACATTATGGTGGGTAAACTACTTTGCTCAAGGTCACCAATTTAAATGTTAATTTCATCCAAAAACACTCTCCAAGTTGATAAATAAAATTAGCCATTACAGTTATTTTTTCCCCACTTTTATTATTTGTTGAATTCTCTTAGGTACAATGTTTGAGGTTATTCTGAGAATTTTATTCTCTTCCGTTGGTCCTTCTGTTAATGTCTCAGTACTATACCGTTTTTATTATTTTTTTAGTATCTGGTAGGGTTAATACATCTTCATTACCTTTCATTTTCAGATTTCTCTTGGTGATGTGTGTTTGCTTGTTTTTCATATAAACTTTTCATTTCTTACCATGTTTTTTCCTAAAAATTTTGTCTTTTTTGTAGTTATTGTAATGGAATCTTTTTTTTTTCATTGTACCTTTTTCCTTTTCTGTGAAATAGGTGATACTTATAAAATAAGGAGTAAAACAAAAAGAAGTACCTTATTTGAATGATTAACAGCGCACTTATAATAAAGCAAGCTGTGTTTGGCTTGGGTTGCTGTGGGCCAGGGAGATACATGCTCCTGATGAGCCTCATGAGAAGTGTGGGGTTGGGAGGTTTATAGAGTTGTGTGTATGTATTGGGTGTGTGATGGATGGTTCTAAGAGGAATTAGGGACATGAGGGTCAGTTTGAGCTGGCTGCTCTCAAGAAGTGAGGGCATTTGGTGATTAGGTGTCTTAGTTTGGACCTGCAATGTGGGATTGAAGCGGCCGGGCTTGTCATTGGTAAAGAAGCACCTGTCACTTAGACAAAGACAGTGTTAGAAGAGGCGGATGTTTAGTCATTTTTGTTGTCCAGAAGTGGCCTTGTCCATATCTGCTTTCAGCACTGCTTCTGTGCTGTTGGGGAAGCTCTGCTCCGCTTGTTCTCGCGGCCAGTTTTCCTTCTCTTCTCACATTCCCACCCCAGCATCCCTTGTCTTCCTGAGTGACTTCTCTCTCCATTTCTTCACTTGTTTAGGTAGTTTTAATTTCCTTTATAACATTCTTCAAAAAGAGCTGTTGTACCTGTTTGGTTTGAATTTTCCTATTTACCTTATTTTTTGTTGCTATTATAAACAGAAATTTTTTATTTTATTCGTTATTACATTGTATTTTCTCATTGTTACAGATATATGCAAATATAATGAGCTCTGTATATTAGTTTTTTCCCCAG